AAATCACTTGGACCACTATTGAAAACAATTCGCAACACGCTGCGTGTCATGCGTCTCGCACTCAATGTTTGGACAAACTGAATTAGTCACTAACAGCTTTGTTTCCCTGTTCATTCATAAAGTCATTTTCACCTCTGGACGGCGGATTTTCCAATACAATTGATTGTATGGACCTTAAAAGCGCCAGAGAATTTGTTAATGGGGATAGAGTAGAATGACAAGGGGCAGCTACCTGGGCATTGGGTCAGCCTAGCCGTTGCACCTGTCTCAATATAAGTGCTCATAACTAGACCAATTCTTCAGATTTTCAAATGAAATTTTCACCGGTACATTTTGAAAGTATATTCTTTGGGAAATTGCAAAAAAAATTGATTTTTTAAACAAATTTTACCGTGGCTATCCCCCTTAAAAGGGGACAGGCGTGAAACATGTTAGTCCTCTTTTGCGGCTCTCCAGTGCTGAATCGGGAAATATCTGCACGTTTCGACGACTAAAAGAGGATCGAGACACTATATAATCGAATAGGGGCTCAGATCTTTTTTAGATCTCTGCCGGGAATACTACAGCGGACTAAAAGAAGTCCCATATTTCGACTCGGGTAATGCGCAATTTTTTATTTCATTACTAATTACATAAGTAATGGATAATTTCCACTTGCAATTACACATTACATAGATTAGATTAGATTAGATTAAAGTTGCGGATGATCGGGCTAGCTTCCCTTATGCCACCGAACTCAATTTTGAGTTATTGTAGCTCCGCCTGAGTTAAGGTTCGGATTAAATTTCCAGCCCGACTTTTACAGCCAGTCTTAATAAATCCGAGACCTCCCTATTCGCGATTTGATCGGTTGTGGGGAATGCGGTCCCCCAACAATGTAATCTCGTCACGGCTAATGCCAGGCACTCGCACTGAATGGGCAGGCTGTCCTCTCTTTCCTCATTGCAGAATCTACACAGGGCATCCTTGCTGACGCCTACGATTCTGCAATGTGCCTTGAATCTTCCATGTCCTGTGAGATATCTGATTACTGTGCTCAGGCTGTCTCTGTTCATGTTGAGTAGCTGCCTGACTCTTTTGCTGTTTAGGCCAGGCCTGATTGCTCTGACTTTCCTGCAAGCCTTTGTATTCCTCCAGCGGTTGGTCTGCTTCCGTCGGAGTTTGTCTCTAATGGCTCTGTTGCCCATGGCTAGCTGTACTCCGACTGGTTCCGCTTCGGTTTCACCAAGTGATTCTAGCTTCGCCAGTCCATCCGCCACTTCATTGCCATGGATACCCTCGTGGCCTAGGACCCAGGCCAGAATCACCCTGTTGTGTCTTCCGAGCCTTTCCAGCATTTCCGTGGTCTTCCAGACCAACTTTGAGTCAGCACTGGGTTTCATGAGTGCTTTGATGGCGGCCTGACTGTCTGAGCAAATGTAAATATACTTGTTCATCGTCTGCCGATCCTCCAGTAGTTCTACGCATTTTTTAATAGCCAGAACTTCTGCTTGAAAAACTGGCAATAGCCCCAGGGACCAACTGCTCTCGTAGTATTCTGCCGGACCATACAGTCCCGCACCGAAGCGGTCTTTGTATCCCGAGCCGTCTGTATACCAGTGTTTGACATTAATACCTGCTGTCCCATTTATAGCTTTCTAGTTTTCACTCTCAGAAATATAGGTTGGAAAGGCCTTCCTGATCTGGTATTTCCTGGCCATTCTGTCTTGGGCCATGTTCAAGTGAGTTTTTCTAAGGATATTCAGTCTGGCCTGTGCCGCCCTCGTCTGAACCCATTCCATTTCATTCATTCCCATTTTTCTTTGCTCGTCTTTGTAATTTGACCCTGAGCATCCCTCCCTCCCCATAATGTATTGCTACTTAGTGAGACCTCAACACTTGAGGAAAAACTTTTTTTATCGTTATGATCATATTTGGCAACGCTGCATTTCCTTCTATTCCTACTCTTAATCTACTTCCCAAAAGTACCATTTTAGGGTTCGTCCCTAGCGAGAAACGTTTCACGGCTTTTGTTCCGAGCTGTAACGTTCCAGAACATTTGTTCCGAGTACGAAACGTTCCGGGCCTTTCGTTCCAGGTTTCGTTCCGAGTTTCATTCCTAGCTCTATCGTTCCAAAAGTTTTGTTCCGACTTTCGTTTCAAATGAAAAATGTTCCACGACTTTCATTCCGGGCATCAACGTTCCAGGACTTTTGTTCCGAGTTTCGTTTCGTTTCGTAACATTCTGCGGAAACGAAATGCAAAAATTCCATTTTCGTTCCGCTCCAGGGTTTTTTGTTCAAAGTCCCTGCTTTAGAAGCTATGTTTTTTTGGAACACGATGGTTCGTGGAGCCCAAAAAATCAAACAATTAATTCGTCAACAAAGTGGTTTTAAGATGTTTTAAGATGTCAATAAATATCATCGTTTGAAATTACGGCATTTATCACCTATGTGGCAGGTGCTATGTGTTGTCGCAGTTCACAGCTACACGCGCCGAAATTCTGATTGTTAGAATCAGGTTTTTTATTAATTTTGGCTAAAAAATGTTCTGAACTGAGGAATTTTTTTTCAATAATTTATTTCATTTCAACCATTCTCTTCAGCAATCTGAAACTCCGCACAGTGAGTCAGAATATGTCGAAGAATGTACTTGAAAAATTTCATAGATTTGGCTCCATGTTTTTACCTCGCCGGATCATCGTTAGTGCTGAGTTTCGACAAATTGATAAAATAACTTGTTTAATTATTTTAGCAATTTTTCCCAATCTTCAGGAAATCATTTTTTTTTGTTTATGGATACTTTACCTTTAAAGTGCTAGGCACCTCTGCACTTATCATTCAACCCCCGAATACAGATGATCTCAATACTCAATAATTAATGTGGAAAATAATATGGGGATAGGGATTTGAAAATCAAAGAGAAGAGACTTGAGTACTCATAGAATGGTTTATTCTATCGAAAGAAACTTGTCAACATAATAAAAAAAAACAAAAGAGAGAGAGAACGAAAGAAAGCTCTATAGGTGACGAATAAGTCTTAGTAAATTGAATTTGATTCTATTGAGAATAGAACGGCCAAAAGAAATGAGTGTTTCATATAATTTTTGTACTGACCAAATTACTAATTGTCCAAAATGGTTTTCATGGTACTTGATTTAGCGATGACGGTCAATGTTCTGAGGTTGTTTCACTTACACTATATTATAAATATTCGTTAAATATTTTATTATAATAAAAGTCTAGTTGAAAAATTTATTATGATTTTGTGTCTTTGAAGTCACTGTGTCCATTGCACGATTTAATCCGCAACGCGTAATAGACAATTTCGCAGTCTATCGACCGGTTGTGTTCGAAATGAAACTACGATGGTGGGCGTATTTATTTTCAAATTCGGAAGAACTTGGGATATCTCGCGTACGCCGGGCAGGACTGATAAACTGATTCCGAGGTAACGTCCAGGAGTAGGGCCTAAGGAGCATGCTCTCCTTAATCCGATCTATTTTGTCGGTAAGGCGTAACTGAAGTTAAATTTTATGGAAAAGATTTAGGAGGCGAAAAGACTGTACATTTGATGCAACGTCCCCAATTTTGACGATTTCCAAGGGCACTCGTGACGCGTTAGCTCGGTAAATTGAGCTGCTTCGACAGCAACTCAATGTCCGGTGAGTAACGAATGAACGCGACTTATGTCGAATAAAAATGAAATATATTATTCGATTGAAATTAATTTTAATGGATTCCAAACATAACATTAGTCATTATTTTTGGAGATTGGTGGACAAGTTTATTGTTTCTGAATGAAATACACACCCTTAGAGAGATAAAAATATACCAATTCTTCGTGGCACGAACAAAAACATTTCATTTTGGATGGTTCATCAGTCATGCTATAATTTTCATGTATACTACTTGCATCAATGGTCTTTCCAAGATATGACAAGTAAAGTTCAAAATGTAAATTCAATAAAGAAAAGAACATGCTACGGTATGATTTTTAGACGGAGAAAAAAGGACATTTCCAGGAAAATTCTCTATATCTAGTGTTAGAAATTTTTTGAAATTTCATGGAAGATTGTAGCGAAGCTACTTTTATATTTATTTCACACCATTTCAATGTATTGTTTTCGAGCTCGGCTTAGCAACCAAATTTCGTACCGTGACACGTGTTGCCGATATATCGCTGTCCTTGTCGCAAGACATCCTCGCGACGATTCGTAATAATTCGGACATCCTCGATCGGATGATCTAATACCGTTGTCGCGGGAGCTCACTCTCGTTCGAGCTCTTATGGTGTAAACCAATGTTACTTTCGCTGTGAATAAATTCAATTCGATATATACGTTAATTCCGAGTGTTTTACGTTACAAAACCCTTCTATCCTTCACCGAATCCCACAAAGATATTATAGTAAATCTCATGAAAGTGACATTGAACAGAATTTAGTGGAAAAATGGTTATGAAATTTCAAGTTTATAATATAATTCACGGAAATTCATGAGTTTTTAGTGGAAGTGATCTAATTCTAGTGGGAGTGAGATGAAGATTCCATAACTTGATTGGATTTTCAGTGGAACATGAATATTCAAAAACAAAATGACATGGATTTTCAATTTTTCTTTGAATTTTTTTGATGTTTCTAAATTTTCACAGAATAATTGAACTGAAAAAACAAGCATTTTATTCTTTTTCAAATCGTTTGAACAGAAAATCAATAGAATATTTAATTTTTCAATGACAAGATTTCAGTGGAAATTTCAGTGGAACTTGAACATGATAGCAATTTCCGGAATTTGGGACGAATAATTCAGAGAATAATTCTCAAGAGTGTAGTGCATTCGCTAATAGAAAATGTTTGTCCTGCAATGATTTTGAGCGAAAATATTTACGATTTTCAATGAGAACTTTCATATTTTCCTAGCATTGCTGGAAATTTTTCATAATATGGAAAAATACTTCTGTCATTGAAATGAACAATAAATTATAATTGATTAATAATGGACCTTATATCTGTCGAATTAGATTGGACACATTCACTGGTGCTTGAATCTGAGAAAAGAGACTTATACGTTGGATTGGTTGGTAAAGATCTGCTTTGGTTGGAGTCATCGGCAGTACCGTTGATAGAGTGAGTAAAAGGGATCAAGAGAGAGTTGAATAAAACGAAGATAAAAAAACTACATATATAATTAACTTAGGTCAATGGGCCTGACATTGCACCGTCCAAGTATGAACGAATACACAGTGAGGCAACTGCCTCGGGAGTTACAACATATGAGAAACTCCCGTGTTATTCTATTGATAATGCCTCAGCACTCGCGGGGCATCGCCATTGCGGCATTGGCAGCTTATTCCATTGGACTGCATGCTAAATTAGTTCTATGTATACAACTGATGCCGGAAAGTTGTATAGTCTCCGGTGAACAGGTAATTATGACTTTTGGACTTACGATGAACAATTGATGCATACTAATGCTTCAAATTTCCGGTAGCACGTCTTTTCAACTAGGCGACATTTCAACTGCGACATTTTAACTACAACATTTCAACTGAGTTTTAGTAAAATTTCTTCTTTTTTTTTTAATTAGCTGAAATTTCTCATTTTTTTAATGCTTTGCTTTTTAACAGAGAATGTAATCCAACTCAGTTTAATTATTGCACTAATACATCGATTAATATCATACAAAGATACAATTTCTTTTTTTTATTACCAATTATAAGAGATCAGTAATTTACAACGTGACAATAGTTGAACGAGGCATCGTATGAACGTTTTGCTGTTTTCCGAGTAACTGAATTGATTAAATTGTATTTCGTGTGGATTATCCCTGCTCAAATGCTTCGGCGATTGATACAATAAAATTTTATAAGGATTACCCTCTCTCAAGTTCCTCACCGAATAACGGAGATAGGTGTATGAATTCGTAATCGCACAAATATTTTATTTGAATTGTTGACGTTTCAAGAGATTTAGCGAAAGATTTTTTAGGAATCTGATCTCACTGATGTGTATTTAAGGTTGAGCAGTTAAAATGTCGTGGATGAAATCTCGTTAGTTGAAAAAGTGTTGGTTGAACAGTCGGTAGTTGAAATGTCGTAGTTGAAATGTCGCCTAGTTGAAAAGACATAGATTCAAATTTCCGACTATTTCTTTATAATTTTGATGACGTTATTTGATCCAGGGCCTTGGGGAAATGATATGGTATTTCAACCCCTGTTATTTATTATTCGATACTCAAATGGATGTCAAATAAAAATTATGAGGTGATAAAAACTTCTAAAAAAAAGGTTTCGGATTCAGAATAAAAAGGGGGAGGGGGAGTTATTTGTGAAGAAACAACTGAAAGATCTTCCTTTATATATGTAGTTCCTAAAATATCTGGACGCACCTATAATGTAGTATCTAACTAAAAACACAAAAACAAATGTTTTTGTGAAAAAACTGGGCCAAGAAAAAGTTTTGTTTGATTCCTACTGGGAAATCGAAGTTTTTGAAAAATACATAGAAATAAAAAAGGAAGCCAAGTTAGGAATTTTGAATAAATGGTAATAGTGCACATTCCGGTTTCTATAAGAAAAATAGTTCTCAATGGAATAAGTATTCTAAAAAAATTCTCCATGAAGTAAAAAATCAGTAGGAGCAGGACCAACGTCCTTGGCGTGGATCAAAGGATGGAGGAATGGATTGATACAGACAGTGAATTGAAAAACTCCGCGCCAAGAACATTGGTCCTGCTCCTACTAATTTTTTATTTCATGGAGAATTTTTTTAGAATACTTATTCCATTGAGAACTATTTTTCTTATAGAAACCTGAATGTGCACTATCACCATTTATTCAAAATTCCTAACTTGGCTTCCTTTTTTATTTCTATGTATTTTTCAAAAACTTCGATTTCCTAGTAGGAATCAAACAAAACTTTTTCTTGGCCCAGTTTTTTTTTTAAAAACATTTGTTTTTGTGTTTTTAGGCAGATTTCATTATTTTTTTCAAAATAAGCAAGGACTGTTTTTACAGTCCTTGCATAAATTTGTTCTTTTCAATTCAATTTAACTGATTCATTTTTGATAAAATAGAACATTTTTTGAACCAACAATTGAAAGGAAATAGACAGTTCTACTCCAGATTTATTCTCTCCACCGAATTTCAAATTTTAATCATCTATTAACAATTTTCTGACTTGATTTGGTTCCTCATTCAATTTTTGCTCTGATGATTCCTATATGGATTGTATTTCGTGGAGAGATGAACTGATTTCCTTATAGGAATAGTCGAACAAAATGTTCACAAAGCATTCTTTTTGAAAACATCTGTTTTTTTTTTGTTTTTAAAAATATTAGGGAAACATTGGGTGGAATGGACTCTTTTGACTTCTTATTTCAATATTTATAACCATGAAACAAATTTATCGATTGAGCTCAGTCTGAGCTTATTACAAAGGGGCTGACTGTACTTTAATTGAAAAAAAATCTATATCATCAGCACGTCAATAAGACATCAACATTTTGGAAATGGTTCCAAGTGTCCATTTAATCCCACCGTCTCCTACTAATTTTTCCTAAATAATCACAAAATTGTTTGCATTTCACTGTCACTTAATTTAGTGAATTTTTTTCCACGGAATGAAAACATTTTCTGTTACACTCGGAGAAAAATAAATATTTTCTTTTCGAATTTAACTATTCACGGACATTTAATACTTGATCACACAATATTTTCGACACATCTCCCTTTTGTCACATTCCAAACATAAACCGATAACCTCACAAACTGTGCATAAACTACCTTTATGTCCGAGGTCCGCATATGAATATAGATATGGCGGGATGAAATTCGAATTTTCGACGAGAGAAAACAAAATAGAACACCGAGTCGATTTTCCGTTTCATTCTAATAAGTGATTTAACGTGAAGAAGAACATTTTCTGTGGTTCTCCATAACAACCTCACAACCCACATTCAAATGCCTTGGTGACAACACTTCAACGTTGGATATGAAGCTCAGTTGTACCGGCGCTGCCAACGTTACAACTTGATTCTCACACTTTATAATGTGAATCGCGAGAATGTGAATATCAACTGGTTGCTATGCGCCTATCTTTTTTACTATTAATCAAAAAAATATCATAGTTACACCGTTGAACAGCTCATAGGCGATTTATATAATGTAACTAACAACACTTTCCCGATTTGTCGTCCCGTTTTCATTATACCGAATGTAAATCATTCAGAGGTAGTGGAGGGGGAAGTTCTGTCGTGTATAGATACGCGGTGCTCGGCCTGATGATTTGCTCAGTCGGTCAAAAATTTTCTTGGCCGATACGCTACCGCGTATCTCGATATTAGGAAAATTGAAAAAAAATTGATAAACCCAATTTTTGCTTCCGAATGAAAGCATTCGTGAAATCTGAAATTTTAATTTTTTTGTGTGAGGATGACTAATATGGGTCTCAGGAGTTCGAATATGGGACATTCCATGTCAACTCAGCCACTCTGAATTTTTTTGGTTCTCAGAATCCTGAATTGACAGGCTCACAGTCAGGTACTACGTAAGTACATGCTTTCCGTAAATTTTTGGTCCTTCAATATCAATTGTTTGTCTACAACATGTGTCAAAAGCTCAAATTTTGGAAAAATCATATCTCGCGAACTAATTGACGGATATTAAGTAATAAAAAACTATTTTTTTCGTTTTTTCATCTACTATTCGGAAAACAATATGCCAGTACTGTGAGGATGAGTAATGACCCTTTTTCAGAGGTTTTAATTTTTCAAATTCCACTGTTACACAGGGGCCAGTCGAAAATCAATTAATTCTCTCTTTTCTTGATAAATAATAATAATCCCCAATTTTCCCGGGACATTTTGAAATGTGATATCGATATAGAGATGAGAAAAAAAATTTGTTTGTATAAAAAATTTTTTTTCTACATTAACGGCTATAATTAGTAAAATCACATTGTCAATTCATGACTTATACTCGTATGGTGAATCATCGATATAACCAATGATATAACTACGTTGCAGCCCTAAAAATAGGAGGAGTACAATTGTCTCAACATTATTTTTAATAATGAACATCGAGTTTGGGGAAGAATGCTATCCAAAACCCATAAATTTTCTCATCCCCTACTCTGTAAGAGAAAAAAATGAAATATCAGGTTTCACTGAAAATTCAATGAAACTTCAGAATTTCAACTACCACAAAGACGAAAATTCATGAATTTATTTGAAATTCCAATGAATTTTTTCTGAAATCTGAAATTTCATAATTTTTTCCCCCTAAATCGCATTCAGTATTGATGTCCTGAAAATTCATGTATATATTTACCGGAATTTCCTGATTTGTCACTCATTTTCAGGGGAAAATGCAATTGAAATTCATAGGTTATAGAAATTCCTTGAAATTCCTAAAATTCCTTCAGCAGAAATTCAGTAGCGAAGCGGTAAACCGGGTTAAGTCGATTTTGACTTTTGGCCAATTTTTGATGAATATCTTGGAATCTAAGAGACACAGCAAAATTTTTCTTACAACCTTTTTTATAACGCTTAATTGGTTCTACAAAAAAGGTCGTGACAAAAATTTTTCTATCTCTTTTAGGTTCCGAGATATTCGTCAAAAACTGGTCAAAGGTCGAAATAGACTTAACCCGGTTTACCTCTTCGCTACTGAATTAAATTTGCTAAAAATTTCGGGAAAGTACACCGGAAATTTCAGATAGAAATTTTTAATAGTCATGTTAGCGATGTTAATAATTAAATACCGATGTTGATAAATTCTTAAGTCCTTATGAAGATGTCATAGAAACCTGAAAGCCTCCAATAGCTCAGTTAATAGGGCGAAGAACTCGCAATTCGTTCAGTCCGGTTCGAATCCGACGTGTGTCCAACTGTATCATTGACTCATCCACGGTCGACTCTCGCCCTTGATGAGCGTAACGAAATGAAAAATAATACGACACGCAGCCAGGAAAATTAAACGTCTGATTGTCCTTGCAAGAAGACCTTGTATTTGTCGTACACTTTCAATCAGATTGTGATGTTTTTCAAATTATCAACACGATATAATTCGCTGTTATGGCGGATGAAAGGGGGAGGAGGAGGTAAGCGGTCTGAAAAACTACAGATTTCGTGGAATTGTGTTTCCATACAACCTCCAAGGGTTACAATGAGTACGAATCTAATTAGTTGTCCTGAGACTTGCTCCTGCAACGTCATCCCTTATTCTCTGTTCAGTGTATTAAATTTCCTCTAGAAATTGACTGAATCGTTATTCTCCTTCAGTTGTTCGTCAGTTTGTATCGAGGTATGTAATCTGACTGTCCCTAATGTGCCAGTGGAGGAGTTATAAAATAGGAGGAGTTCATTTTTATTTTTCAATGGATAATAAATTATCATAGCCACGAGTACATTCATGAAAGAATGTAT